CGTTTTGGACACATCCTACAGCAGAGATGCTCTGAGGAGAAAAGCACAGGACCTGTATACAACCTTCAGAGGAAAAATGAGTGGAAAGTAAACACAGTTCTTGCTTACCTGCTCTCAAAACAGTACTGATTTCAGTCAGGAGCACTAGGCACGCAGCTGTGTACGTGATGGCTGGAAACACCAGACACAGTACCAGGCCTCTTCCATTTCTGTGAATAATTACATGAGAAATTTGTAGTTTGTAAAACTCTGCTTCATTTCCACACTAGAGATGCAAATCCTCCTCTCACCATCCTTTGTGCATCGCAAGGCTGAAGCGTATCTTTGTTTCTAAAAAATCAAAACCAAACACCACCCTGTCGCTGTGCTCAGAAAGTCTCTCCAGAAGCGTTGCTGCACTTTAGTAGTTGCTTTTGTGTTTTAAACTGATACTAAAAAAAAAAAAACACACATTAAAAAAAAAACTCAGACAATTTCTGTTTGCTACTTCTGACATCTGTTTTACCAGATGTGGCACTTGGGGACATGGTTTGGTGGTGGCCTTGGCAGTGCTGGGTTAAAGGATCGACTTGATGATCTTAAAGGTCTTTTCAAGCCTTAATGATCCTGTGATTGTAAGGCCAGAAGAAGAAAACTCTGTGCTGCATCTTTCTGAAGTGTCCACCAGGCTTCAGGCCACAGGGGCTGCAAAAGTATTTTTGTTTAAAGCTGTGTGTATTCTGTTGCAGGAGTTCTCCGGGTTGTTTATAAATTACTGTTGAAAAATGTTAGCGTGTGCCGGATTCTCAGGATGAGCAGGATCTCACTGTGCATGGAAGTGCTGTTAAAAACACCTGAAAGCTCTGCTTACCAAGGCATAGCAACCTCGTGGCATTACCCAACTTCCTTCACTATTGATATGAAATACTATTTAACGGCATGTCTTTTTAAACTAACCGTCTGCCGTAGGGTTTGAACCGTCCCTTGAAATACCCTGAGGAGGTGCAGAAGAGCTGTGTCGGTGACCGGCCATCCTTCATATTTAAATCGCGGAGATCTGTGTGGTTTTTTTCCTTTTGTTTCGGCTGGGGTTTTGTGGGTTTTTTTGTTGTTGGGTTTGGGGTTTTTTTTGGCTCTTGTTTCAGGCGCGCGCCAAAAACCGATTCTCCCGCCAACACGCCCCGGGGGCGGGGCCGGGCGGAGCGGGCTGAACCACCACACTACCGGAGGGGGGTGTGGGGGGGGTGTCTCAGTGTGTAAAGGCCCGGGGCGGGGAGTTGCGCTTTCCCCTTCCCCCCCTCCCGTACCTGTCCCCTTGGAGGCGTCCCGCGGGGGGGCGGGGCGGTCGCTGCCGCTCAGCGCCGGCGGGAGATGTGAAGGGGCCGAGCGGGAAGGCGGCGGTGCTCCTTCTGTCCTTGTCTGCCCGCAGCGCCTGCTCCGCTCCCCCCTCACCGCCCGGCTCTCCCTCTGCGCCCGCTCCGCTCCCCCCTCACCGCCCGGCTCTCCCTCTGCGCCCGC